ATCGACCGCGAGAAGGTCAGTGCTTACCCTCTGGCCCCTGCCCCCTTGTTCCCGGTGTCAGTCTTCTAAGTTTTAACTCATGGTCTGCCCCCCTTTGGTAGATTGTGCTTTCACAAGTAGTTGAAAACTGATATGCAACTCCGCGGCATTAGGTTAGGTTTTGCTTGCGTCCAGAGGAATGTGAATGCTGACTAATCTTACTGATAACATTTTCTTTTGTGTGCAGACCTGTCCTCTGCTGCTCAGGGTTTTCACAAGGGTAAGCATGCTTATGCCTTTTTGTTTCTGGCCCCAACGAATTTATTTATTAACCTGTGCTGGTTAGCACTTTATTTTAGTGTGTTGGGTGGGACTTGAGAGTCTGTAGTATTGATTCACTTGTTTGTGTTACTATTACTACTGCAACTTTTAAGTCGATTTTGTTGTACCTATGGTGCATGGTGGAATCAGCAGAAAGTTTTTCATCATCAAACTATGCCTTTTCTTTTTATGAAAAGGCAATTTACTGCCAGTTTACTTACACTGGAAATTTATTTAGAAGTCTATGCTTTAAGATGATTGCGTAACTAACAGTATAATTATTTGTTTGTGAAACAAATGAATAATCAGTGAAGTTTTAGTGAAGCACAGACCTTAGTTAATTAGTTCCATGAAGGGGAAACAACTTAAGCTGGTCTACCTGTTCTGGAATGATTCTGGAAAAAGTTATTTGATGGTGAAGCCAATGAATAATCAGCGATGTTTTAGTTAAACACAAGGCCTTATTTAACTAGTGTCATAGAGGGGAACAAACATAATCCGGTCTACCTGTTTTGGGATGATTCTGGAAAAAGGTTGATATGCTTAAATCAAGGGATGAAATGTTTATCTTGTTTAGAGGCCTGCACTTCATATATAATTATTTATAGAGTTGTTGAGTGCAGTAACGCATCTTAGCCATCCACTGCTCCAGGATTTGTTCTGTTGGTGTTCTGTTAGCACATTTCTCTGTTGGTGTTCTGTTAGCACATTTCTAGTGTCAGTTCTTATTTAGCTGGCCTGAAGGTTTACTGGGTCAGTAGGAGCTCTTCAATGGAAATTATATTGCCTATTTAGATTCTAGGTGGGCCATTTATCATTCCTAATCCTTCCTGGAAAGCACAGTAGTAATCTCATGATACATTAGAATCTAGAAGCTGGGAATACATTTTTATGTGGGTGATCTGCACAAATGTACCATTAAGAGTGCTACATATATTGTGCACGTCTTATCTTACAGGTCTTGCAGTAGAGATTGATAATAAAACACCATGTACTGCAGAAAGTTGATTGTTGGTTACTGTTTTCAGGTTTCTGGTCACCATCAAAATGAAGAGTTTGCTGTGAGAGGGAAGGAACCAAAGGATGAAGTTCAGATTTACACATGGAAGGATGCCACTCTCCGCGAGCTCACTGATCTTGTAAGTCCTTTCTACAGACTTGAACTTGCTTGAGGTAACTAGGGTTTCATGTCTTATAATAACATAGCACTGGGTTTGAGCAATGGCTAGTGGGGCCTGAGCCTGCATGATATCATGTTAAATCTTATCAGTGCATTATGATTATTTTTCAGGTGAAAGAGGTTGCTCTTCCAGCAAGGAAAAGGAATGCGAGGCTTTCTTTTGCATTTGTATACCCAGACAAGAATGGTCGTTTTGTTGTCAGACAGGTAAGGCTATAAGAATTTGGGCATGTTTGGACCCTTAGCTCCACCTCACCTTGCTTTGCTGTTGCCAGGCAAGGTGGATGCTTGGTTTGTTTCGCTGGGTGGGCAATGTTATAGGCGCTGTTTGGTTTCCTAGTTAAAAACTTGTTTTTGCTGGCAAGCTTTGTGGTTTAGTTTAACTGCTAGGTACTCTTGCTCATGAAGATACACTCACCAAATTGCCTTAAGTGGGATTGCCTCCATCCGTCTAAATGAACAAAACCTGCTTGAAAAATTTCAGTACACGTACCATACCAATTCATATATACAATACAAGGCGATGAGAGAACCATCACAAGCATTACCATCAACACAATCTTCCACATGTCATACACCCAAAATACACCGTGCTATAGTTTCATATATCCAAAATGCATATTATGCCTTATACACATTATGCCCTATAAAGGTTCATATGGCCAAAATATATACCCTGCATCATTAGTTTCAAAGTGCCAAAAACACGGTATGTCATACAGTCATTGTGCTTCATACTTTTAAAAGCTAAACTAGTCAGTCCATGAGCATTAACCAAAGTTATATGAAGAGTTTAATCCATAGGATAGTGATCCATGACCCACTGTCCCACGCACTATTGGATGCTTTCCTCCAGCTGCCCCTTCAACATGCTAGCAATCCTAACATTTTCAGCAAGATAAGTCTGCAAATCATAGGCACACTAACAAAGGATACTCCATGTTATCGATGACCCTGTAAATTCCCTTATTTGGGTCAGTGGCATGAGTGAAGCACATAGTCTCAGACTTGTTCTTACTTCTTAGAACCAGTGACGTCTTGAACCATGGCATACTCATTCTTTTCGTTCTTCCTTTTCTTCTAGTAATCTTCAGGCTTCCCCTTAGAGCCACCTGAGCTAGGACCATTAGAATCTAGTAGAGTATCAGAATCATAGTGCTGAGAAGGATCATTGTCCTTGTTCTTGACTCTTTCTCCCATTGCCATTGAGACCATTATTCTGTCTTGGTCGGCCATCAAAAGGTGCTAGAAGCACACGAAATTCTCCCATAGCTTGTTTTCTTGTGAAGATAACCTCCATCTCATCATAGAAGGGAATTGGAACATTGTAGCACTTGGCTCTCCTGTTGCCATCCTACATTTGACATATAATAGCTTCTTATTTGCAATGCCCAGGGGGTGTCTTCCCCGTGTTCGAGTTTCTTTTATTAGTTACCCAGTGTGTAATAAAAAACCTGTATCTAACAAAACATTTTAGACATGCATACTTAGATTTCATCTTCACAACATCTATTTCATCATGGATTATCTTCTTCTGGACACCATCAAAACTAGTGCCCCTTGTAGACTTTCCATCTACAAATTACAATTACCTTCCATTCTCCCTTAAGCTTGTGGTACTTGTTGCAGATTTGTTTCCCTGTGAAGTTAGAATCATCTCTCTTTTGTTAATTCTTTGAGCACAGCCTCATGATGCATCTCCCTTAGAATCAGGGTCTTCCCACTCTTCTGGATTTTCTGTTTGAAATAGAGGAGACCTTCCACTTCCTGGGGCTGCCACATCACACAGTTCCCAGTCATCTCCCACACATGACAACTCAGAATTTGCATGATTATTTGGAACAGTACTGCAACTCATATTTAATTTAAAAACATTATTTCTCAAAGCACACATAGTTCAAAGTTCTTTTTACATTAGTCTAGATGCAGGTACAACTGCCACTTTTTTTTTTTAAAAGAATTATATTCAGAGTTCTGTTGTGGAATGAGCTTGTCGTTAATGCTAAAATGCTAAGCCATGCTTATGTGTTGGCTTATCATTAAGAGTTTAGGCCCATTGAATCTTTGGCTTGTTTCTCTTAACTATGTTGTCTTAATCAGTAGCATGTAGAACTATTTGCTACTTTTGCCATCAAACAGTTATGTTCTTAGGTAGACGTACCTAACACATGGCATGAGCTGAGTGCATTAGCAAAACTCTGGTCCCTTCCCGTTGTCTATTAAAGCAAGTTTGCTGTTAACATCATGATATTCATGGACTTTTACTGAAATGCTGCCCGTTACTTGGTTAGTTCATTGTTACCATTGCATTGTAGCCCTTTCATGACCTGTCTTATTGAATATTTGAAGGTGGGTTCGACCTTTGCATATGGTCATGGAAGAGGTGATGATGCCAAAACTCTTGCAGAGCTCGGGTTCCAGGTACGTAAGAATGCTGTATTGTGCTACTTCAGATTACACTTTTTGGTCAGTGCACAAAATATTTATCTGTGCTGCCTTGTTCTGCAGATTGGTGATTACTTGAGCGTTGCAATCATGTAGACAGTGCCCACAATGAATTTCAGCGACTGCACCGGATGTAACTGCTGTGATGTCAAAAGGCTTTAGTTGCAACAATCAAGGCATGAATCTCTGTTAGCACTAGGAAGTGGAACCAAAATTTTCTGTAATACTGGTAGTATAAAATTTACCTAGACATTTCGAACGAGCAAGGAGTCTGGTATGGTTGCTTGTATAATATCTGTGGTGCCTGAAGTTTCCAAATCTGGACAACGTGCGTTTTCAATTGAGAATGTTAAGTTGGGCTGACTGATATTCCAAGTCCTTTTTCAGCTTGTTTTTTCAGCCGGAACAGTATTTTTCTCTCACAACAAATCAGCCGGAATAGTGTTTTGGCATGTTTTTTCAGCGAAGCGAACCGAGCCGCATGTACACCGACACAGAATCCGGTGAGATGATCATAACAGTTGCAACGTAGTCTTAACTTTCTTGGCCAGCATAAGGTTTGAGATGAAATTAAGATAAATGGATATGGATATGGTTACACTTATTCTCAGATTACAAATGCTGGCCGAGCATGTACAAGAAAAGCGTCTGATCCAATGCATGAGCGGACAAGAGTCTGCTCTCGTGTGTTTAGTTGGGAGGCCAACCCCTAGCCTGCCTCCTCTGCCCCGCCGGTGCTCACCGTGGCGCTCATCGTGCTCGCTGCCTCGACGGAGGCCGTGCTCGCCTCTCGTTCCTGGGCGCATCGCCGCCGGAGCCTGGTGCTCGTCGTGCTCGCCTTCCTCCCCGGCATCGTCCTCCGCCTCGGCGTGCTCCGCGCTGCCGGCCTCGCCGTGCTCCGCGCTGCCGGTCTCGCAGGACGGGCCACCACCGACCACCGCCGGCAGCTCACTCACTTCTTCATGGCGGTGGGGCTGCCGGACTCGAGGATGGGCTTGAGCGTGGGGTCCTCCTTCATGCGCGTGACGCGGGCCTCCAGCTGCTCCTTGTGCGCCGGGTTGGTGAGCCCCCCAGCATGGTGGATACGGCGGGGTCCTGCATCAGCGCGCTGCCTAGCTGCTCCGCCATGGCCACGAACTGCGGGTTCTGCATCAGCTGCTGCATCGTCGACACGTACTTCTACGGGTCCAGCTGCGCCGCCGCCGCCGCCTGCTGCCGCCGCTGCCGCGGGGACACCACCGTCTTCTGCAGCTGCTCCGCCATCTCCGTGAACGCCGTGGTGCTTGTCGTGCTCGCTGCCGTGAGAAGGCCGACGAGGAGGAAGAGGAAGCGGCGGAGCGGATGCATCCTCGTGGTGATGTGCTGGTTGTGCAGAGTGGAGTAGTTCGTCGGAGTGGGGGACTGGTGGAGGCTGCCGTGCTTCACCGAGGTGTTCGCTAGTTCCTCCTATGCGCACCCACCAATTGTTCGATGAAATTCCTCAAAGAGGTAAGCTTACCAATTGAGACAAGAGGTGACTGTATCAAAACAAACCAGCAACCAAACAACTAGGGATTGACTTGGTGGGAGCAGGCTAAGGCTACCCAGACTCAGATTCTAGCCAGGCTAGAAGTTGGCCAGGAAACCAAACACACCCTATGAAACCAGAGAACCAGTATGAAACCAAAGGATGAATAGTAGCTACGACTTCAAAGCAGAAAAATTAAAAATTCAAACATCTGTTTGATTTTAAATGACACATGCTGTGAAAAGCCGAAAACCGTTGTCAAAAGAAGCTGCTGCTTGGCAATCACATAAATCTGCTGAAACCACTTGAGTGTTAATTTTCTTCGTATGCCTTTCTTCTCGATATCTCTTCACAAGGGCTAGCTACACAATCTTAAGCTTGTGATTTGAACGATTTCTTTGCATAATAATTCAAGCTTGTAGATTCAACTAACTATTCTTCATGATTCAAAAGTAATTGACGCTTTGCACATATGACTCTTCATAGCTAGCTTGATACATTCCTCGGCATTGGTCCAATGCCTATTCACTTCTTATTCTGCACGTCACAACTGTCAATAAGGCCTTCTCTGCTGATCATCTTGCTCATTCAAAAAATTTTATTTCTGTATATTTAATATATTTACAAAGCATCATTTGTATGCTGGTGTCAACTAATAAAGAGAGACATATCATGAAACAAGGATTTTCATGGAAAATAGCTTCAAAGTAGCAGCATCCTCGAATAGTCTTCAAGGACAAGGAGCCTCTTTTCCTTGTCGTACAAGTACATGACACTGATCATCCTCGCAGCATTCAAGCAGATCCGCGTGAAGCTGGAGGAGAAGGTCCTCCTACAGAAACACTCCCTGTTGAGCTCCTCCCACTCTCTTGCAATCAAGCTACGCATATATGCTTCAACATCGTTGGGGGTACATCTAGGGTTCTCCATGAGGTAGAAGTCCCTGTATGACCCATCAAATCCTTCCTGTGCTTCATCCTGCAAACGATTGTTGACTGTTCGAGTGTTTCTTACTAAATTTACAGAAATATTGGGTTTGGAAATCTTAATATGGAAATGGCAAAAACATTTAAGAACTGTATATTCAGCTAACCTCGGCGCTGCCCATGTCATCCCAAAGTCGCAGAATCTTGGCTGGGCAAGAGATGACAGAAGGAATGTGGTCAGTGAGTGCTTCAATACTTTGATCATACCCTAGCAGCACAAGTAGGTGTACAAATGCAAGTGGCACTCCTGAAGTGACAACACCATTTCTTAGGTAGTCCTCTGCAGTAGGAACCTGATCTGTTGCTAACCATTTTGCCTCAACCATGAATCCATCAAACAACACTACCCACTGCATAGAATGGTGGAATAGGTTTCCTATGTTAGTGATTGTTATTAAGTGTGGTCCAATTATCATAGTTGCAATAAGTTTCATTGTGAAAAAATATAGCAAGTTTTTAACCAATTTTTTCTAGAAATGCACAAGTTTTTAACCAATGAAGTTGAAATTTCAGCAATATAGGACATCATTCCTAGATGGAGGTACAGTGTTTTTTAAATTGATTACTGTTTATGAAGATCCATTTGAGAAGTATAAGAAAAGGCAATTTGGTAACATACTGCTTTCTTGAGATGATTGACAAGGTTCAGTTCATGCTCCTTTTCAGCCATATCTGCGATCTCATTCGTAATGGTGTAAAGAGCCATGAAGCATGATCTCATGCAACTAGGCAGTGAATTAGCAGCTGCAGTATTCCACCTACAATTGCATTTTATCATTATGTAAATCAGTTACAATGTGCCAACAACTATTAATACCAAAATCTAAAAAAAATGTGCATATGCATGTGTACTTGACAACTACTTTATATCATTTAATTTACTGTGCGAGTTTGAGACTATTGTTCTAAGCTTACATTTTGATTGCCTTAGTGAAGAGTGAGAGCTCCTCTAGTGTGCCAATAAGGTCAAATATGTCATCCACAACATAGACAAGCGAGATTATTTTTTGTGATCTCAACTCGGTATCTGGAGAAGTAACATCCTTGGAGGGCTGTCATGGACCACATGTACCATTTCAGCACCTGGTGTCTCGCCACTGGTATTTGTTGAGCTAATCCTAGGTCCATCCACCATCTACATCACATAAACAAAATCTTTCACAATTATGATTAATGAAAAGCATATCACCACTTTAATTTCTCTTAGATAAACAAAGGTAGAGTATCATTTTCTAAACACTTTTACATAGTTGGTCTAGCACAAAAGCATACATGCCTGTGATTAACTAGAAAGGGCACTCATTTACATACCTTTTAATCTCTTGCATTTCTTTCTGATGCAGCATTTTGTTTTGCTGAAACTCTGCAGCTGCTAATCTCTCCACTGCAGTGTCTCTGGTCGGCAGGCTCTGCAGGTAGCTGAGGTGATGCCTGGCTTTGTACTGCATCAGGCTCAGGTGGCAAGGCTTGGTTCCAGGTACCTAATGGCAGATGCAAGGTGCTTGCTTGAGAACTCTTTTGCCTTGTACAGCAACACCTCTCCTCCAATATCCAGGTGAGACATGTCATGCAGACTCAGGAGCCCTCTGATGTCCTTGCTAAGAGGAAGCTTGAACTCGCCGTCGCTGCCGGTGAACCTCCATAGAACATCACCTGCCGCACATCGATTGATGGTAGAAACCATTTATACTTTGGACATATGGACATATGTATCCTTTCTAATTTCCAAAATGATATAACATCGTATATATATGTTTGAGAGTACTAGCTAGCAATACGATTCTCTCTACATGTAAGATATATCCACTGACATGCTGAGACATCATGGCCGGCCTCTCTCTTGAGCCTGAAAGCAAGGGTTGCATCGAAGAGATCATCAGTGTGGAGGAGATCCATGCAAGCACTCATCATGGCGCTCTCGATCTCTTCCTCAAAGTAGTGGTCGATGCAGAGGCGCTTGAGGTTATCGATGGTGACCATCATCTCCCGGTCGTCCTTCTGACGTTGATGGAGAATCTTTTGTACTTCCGTCAGGCCCTCCTACAGGTGTATGTTTCATGGAGAGTAGTGAGCATTAGAGGTTACGTTTCATTGAGAAATATATGTAATCATGAAAAGTAATGGATATATATGGCTTGCTAAGCTATACCTGGAGGTCAAAATCTTCACTCAGCGGAGTGTTGGAAACCGCCGCCGCAGGGCGGATGAAATTGCTACGGCGGCGGCCTCGCCGGCCGTTTCCAGCTGCTGCCGCCGGCCAAGCTAGCTGAAAGGAGAAGGTGCTCCACGGAGGAGAAGGAAAAGGTGCGTGAAGTAAAAGTACTATACATATATACAACTTAAGCAGAAAACAAGCAAGATAAGGCGCCGTATATATTTATGTATATATGTATATATATCTTGTTTTTGTGCAGTTCGTTGCTGCTTGTGATCAGTTGTGAGCATCAAATTCAAGGTGACCGCATGCCCTACAATTTATAAGGAGGAGCATATACGGTGTTTTCTGTGGTGGTGTTGCATGCAGCTTCCGAAGCCAGCATCAAACTGCAGTCCAAATGGTGTGGAGTTAGTAGGTCTTCGCAACTGATGTGTTGCGTTTGAATCTTCAGGACATACAACACCCTAGGTCTCTATTCCTGTGTGCGTGTGAATTTGCAACTGTGTCTGCTAGCTCCAGTTTGTCCTACGTGGAATTTTGCTCACACTTGGCTAACAAGTTATGGCACAAATAAATGGTATTTTTCTTGTTTTTTCCTTTCACTACGACAATTATTTTTTATACAAGTATTTTTATGAGAATTTTACCGGTATATTTTCTGTAAAAGAAAAGAAAGCAAATTGTTCCCAGTCCGTGTACGTTACGTATGACTGCAATCACTAAACTACATGCCCTCGTGTTCTATCGACAGGTAAAAGTAGCAAACATGGCAATGCATTATATTATAACGGGAGGTACAATTTATTGCATGGTGCTCGTACGAATGATAATGAGCTAACTATTTTTGTTAGATTTACTTAGATATGATTGAACTTTAAACCAAATAATTCAAGTCCCATAATAAAAGCTAGTGCAATAACGAATTAATCTCAAGAGATTGACTCAACTTAAATAATTGGTGTCCATTGTGTGCATTTTTTTGAAAAGTCAGCAGATTTTTTGGTATTTTATATATGGAAAACAATTTACAGCATGTATAACTTACAAGGCTCTCAAAGCCAAGAAGAAAAAGGAAAACAAACATTAGGAAAAAAAAAAATTCTCACACCACCTAATGACGGGATCCCTATTTTTTTTGCTTGCCGTTATTGTGCGCATTTCTTGTGATTTGGGAACCAGTGGATGGTGAGCCACACGTTCACACACGTGCCACGACATGAATAGGGTCAGGCGACCAGACCATGAGTGGTGTGGCGTTAATGAAAGTTTTACGGCTCCAAACTCAAAGCAAGAAGGTGACACTGAGATATGACAAACCAAAATGATGAAAGAGGAGTGTGTTTTTTCATACTAGGTATAGGTTATAGCTTTTTGAGGTTTTGTTTTTCTTCTAAATACACCTACTAAAAAAATTATCATTGATGTGCTGGAGTTTACCTCTGTTTTGGCTATAATAAGGTTGCCATTGTGGGTGTTGATTTTAGGATAAGAATCTATAAGACATGAAAAGGAAATCATGTAAGTCGGTGAAAAAGAAATCGTGTAAGTCAACAAATCAACATAAGCATCATCATAAGTCAATGAAAAGGAAATCATGCAAGTCATTAATAGATTATTAAGGCCACTTCAATAATGTACATGACTCATATGTCAACTTCTTCGTTCCTAGCAGACTTGTAGTAGCGGTGGATAGATATGTCGCGGTCACTGTACGCTGCTCTACCGTACTGTCGATGTCAAAGTTTTGAGGTGCTACGAAATTTTCAACAAATCAGTCAACTTGTGCGTCCGTGCTCATACCGTGCGAACAAGCTCCATAGCAATTAGCAGCCGCCGGCTAGGTTCTTCCCATTTGGGGACCAGGGCTGCCTCGAGGAGGAGCATCCATCCGTCGTTTAACACCATGTTCGCTTATCATATGCTGCGTGCTTATCGGTCTTCATGATGATTTTTAGTTCACAACAAAACAAAGATCACCATTTATAAACGGCGGTAAAGCGATCAAGCGGACATGGTGGGATTTCAGCAGGAGTTTAGGTTTTAGCTTTTTGAAGTTTTGGTGAAATTAAATAAACCTACTGAAAAAATCATCATTGAAGTAGGGGTTGATGGCTATAACAAGGTTGCCATTGATGTGTTGATTTTATTATCACTACCTGCGGCAGGAAAGGTGCTACTAGCTATCATCATGCCGACGTAGTAGCTCTTCTTGGTGACTGCAATTGATCCGCCACACCCGCGTTGCGATCACTGCGGGAAGCAGGAAGAAGTCTGCGCCATGCCAATGTACTCCTCGGCGTCACCGCCACTCCCACAGCGTGCGCGTCTTCCAGCAGCGTCCATATGCGACCGTCGTCATCCCGCACCGCCAGCCATACACGTCCACGTAGTGCGCCTCCAAGACCACCGCGAAGCCCACAGTGCACGCCGAGGCTGCAGACGAGCACCTTTCGATCGCTTCGGCAAGCGGCGGCGGGCTCCAGCAGCGACCGCGTCGGCAAGGCCGGATCTTGTGACCGCCACACCTGCAAGGTACCGAGCGTCAGCGAGAACGCGGCGAGGATGAGGATCTTGGCGATGCGATCGATGGTCCAATCTGAGCTCCTCTTGTCCACCTCATACCACGGCGGCGGCGGCGGCGTTGAGCCCACGGCGATGCGGGCAAAGCAGGCCTCGGCGTCGGTGATCGAGGGCACGCAGATGTCGACCGCCGCAGACGCCCAGCATCACCGGCTTCACGTCACGGCATCACGTTCGTGTTCGCCTTGATGTACATCGATTGGCTTAGCTCCACGGGCGATGGCGGTGCGGAAGCGTCGGCCGGCGACGGCGAGTGCCGAGAGGCGAGAGAGGTGTGGGGACAGAAAGCGAAAAAAAAGAGAAAGGAAGAGAAGAAAGAAAGAAAGCGTGCAAGAATGTCATTTCACCGCTATTCTCTCTCCTCAACCGGCTGCAACCAGTCCGCGGTGTCCTGTGGCCTAATTTCACCGAACCAGAGTGTCTTCTGGCAAAATGCTCCAAAGTGGCTGTCCGTCAGCAAAGGACTATCA